CACTGGAAGAATTTCAATTGCAGAGATAGAAATTTCAGGATACCTCTTCGACGATAGTTAACATATCAAATTTCGTTTGAATATCTCGAACTTTTTTATCGAGTCCTAACATTGTTTCTTTTTCGCGTGCCATGGTCTCGTTCATCTCTTCAATAGTCTAATACAGCAAGTAGATTTCTCATATTTGTAAAAATAAATTTAAAGCTTAAAAAACAAGATTGACCTCTAACCTGTTTTAACTTATCAGGATTTAATACAATCCGACTCTTTAATTTTTCGAGGACCTGTTTTGCGGTTACCACCAGGAAATGTGTGTTGTTCTGCAAACGAAGAACTGCAATTTAATATGCGTTAAATATATTTCTAAATAAAATGTTTTACGCACAATTTTTTCGGTCCAGTCTGCTCTAACATTTTTCAACGCTGCGATCTCATTCAATAACCCTGTCTGCTTTTTTTTCAATTCACGCATACCACTCATTAGGTTTGCGTTCTGCTGCATGTAGGATTTGACCTCGTTTTCTTGTTCTTTGCGTTGCAGCCTAATTCAAACTATAACCGTCATTCATCATGTATGAATTTTGCGCAGTAAAGTCCAAATGACGCATACTTTAATTCGTTCACCTTCCCGACAAGTGCATGATAACGAATTACTAGCTCCTCGTTTTTTTCCAGAAGCTCTTCCTTCAAATTCAAAGAAATATAATTGACTTAAGTAAATTTTTGAAGAATGAACAAATAGTTAAATAAATGCCTTTCTTGGTTATCCTACCGAGTGTTTCTCATAATCATTAAAAATGTACATTCTGTCCTCACGGAATCTCATGAAGTTGATTATTGCACTGAGTATTCTACGTACTCGAGAAGATTCTGGTCTAAGAATGTCGAAAAAGGAAAAGTCGGCAACTCCAATTGCCGCCATCAGTTTATTCCTAACAGAGTTGACAGTTCATTTTAAAAATTAAAGCTAGATGAAAATTCGTATATGAGGTAGGGAATTTACATTCGCCTATAGAGAGCCATTAATTGCATCGGTTCTGTATAGAATTCCTGAAACGGAATGACGTGACATTATTAAAATGAAACACTCCTTAAGACAACGATCGTAAATTAAATAAAATTACGAACATACAACATTATCGATTTTGTTATGTACTCTATTGTTCAATTGCTCGTACCAGTCCGTTTTGCCCCATTCTTCATTTGTTACTCCGGTAGTAACCCTTAAAATAGCATCGTACACAAGGTTTAAACGTTGAATGGTGGGTTTCTTTACGTCTACATCAGTAAAATCATCCACAACCTCCTCTAAAAATTGCACGATATCCGCATCGGGAAGTATTGGAAAAACATAGGCCTCCTTTTTTCTGTAATCCATAATAATACTCGAGAGTGGTAATCGAGAAAAACACGTATTACGCGTTTATGATTTAGTTGTAGATCTCGTGTAACCTTAATTATTATATAAAAGGCTAATTTTTAACAAGAAAATCTCTCTACTACTTTAACATGCAGGCAAGTTATAAGTTGTGTAGTTCACCAAAACCAAAAGGAATCTATCTGATGAAATTAGAATTCTTATTTTAAATTGTTTAAAAGATAATTGACAAACGAAATGCAATGCTTTCAAATTACGAGGTGTTGGCCGTTTTACGCGAAATGGACGACAAGCAAAAAGATCAAGCAAGGGCAAATCCAAATATTAAATTTGCGGAAAATTTAAAGACAATACAGTTTGAGGTAAGTTACTTTGTTGGGTATTTCCAGAAATTTGGTTTGAAAGATCATTTTTGAAAAATATTTTATTATTATTATTATTTTATTTTTTAGGTCATTCAAAGTCTGTCGTCGTCACAGTCGCCAGCATCAACACAAACTCCCGAACAAATTGAATCAATTCTGGACAGTCTAAAAAAGTATAATCTCACGAAATCAGAAAAGTTACAAATAATCAATTTAAGACCTCAGAACCTTGTCGACTTGGAATTGGTAAAGTATTTTGAAAAATAAAATATGCAGTTCCTTTATTTGGGAATTTACTCATGTGCGCACCCTGACATATTAAGATTATTGAGGACTGCGAAGATCGATTTCAAGTGGATACTCTTCGTGAAATGATATACGTTATTGGTACCAAATTGCCAATGCCGGGTAAGGTTGTCCACAGGTTGGAAGGTGGTCAAGTGAACCTGGATGGTGATGAAACGATGAAATTTATTCACTATCCAATGGAACAATGACGTGAATCATATCTTGTTATATGCAGATTCGTATTGTGCCTTCCTTTATTTAGTATACTAATTCGTTATTGCATATCGATATGTATCTTCTAGTTGTAATTTATTCGAATGCTTTTGAAACCATGTGATATCTAATACCGCGCCTAATTTTATTGGCCGTAAGTCACGAGATAAATTCTGTAGTTATAAGTACGTATGTCCACAGACGAGCCTCACTTTAAGAAAATACATAATGAGTAATCATCATCATCACACCGATTCGTGTTCTCATGGCTCACAAGCAAATCCATACGCTCAGAGTTTAGACGAATTGGACTTTCAGAGATCATTACACTACGCGTCGATGGTTGGGGACGTTGGTCGAGTAAAAACCATAATTTCTAAGAAAGGCTTCACAATTGTAAACGAAATTGACACAGCCGGTTTCACCCCCTTGGTATATAACTAAATATTGTGATCTTAATACTTCTCAAGATGAGAGATAACGCTTCTGATATATTATAGCATTATGCATCCCGCAATGGTCATTTGGAAATTTGTCGAATTTTACTAGAAAGTGGTGCAAATGTTAATGCTGTGACTCCTGAGCTACTTTCAACAGTGCGTTTGTATTTCTAATTGTCAATTCTAGAGATTATAGG